AACTAGCTGACATGCTGCTACAGTTGAATTCGAATCGTAATTGTTTAAGGAGGGTCATACGGAACTCATGAAGGATGTCGACCGTATGCGTTTGAGCCGAGCTGTGGGAGTCCCTGTGGATCAGCACTCTATCGCAAGGATCGAACTCCACGATGTGAGAGGCAATGTCAAAGTCTCTACCATAGATCATATGAGCAGGATATTGTCCAAGGTTCACTTTTTCGAATGATAACGGGTCTACCTAAGGGAGAAGACCTAACCTTGACTTTTTATAGCTAAGGAAGCCTACTGGTTACGAGCTATAAATGGGAGTTCTGAGTTCACGCCACTGGTCAAGTCGACCCTCAATAGGCTCACCAATGGTGAGTTATTTCTCAATTTGAAGGAAGCGCTAGGTAGTCAGACTTCGCGCAGCAGCGCTTCAACGTAGTCGACGCTGTCGAAAGCATGCGCTATCGATCGCGTCGAAATCGCGACCGAAGCGCTGCCGTTGCGAAGTATGGACACTGCCTTAGCAATATTCCTCAACAATCACCTTCCAACCACGTTTGTGCTTTCACGAATAGTCGGTGAATGTGTGCGTATCAGTTCGCTGATACGCACACATTCACCGACTATTCGTGAAAGCCGCAACGCAGCCGCCTGCGGCTAAGGCCAATGTTTTTGGAATTCTGTGCAGTCATTCTAAGAAAGGTTGGCTGTGAATGAGTAAGGAAGAAACTTAGTTGATCGTATAGGAAAGTCACCGAGCTGCTTCAACGAGAACTGATAACATATGGACCGGTACTAGCATGCTTTACACTACACGAAGACTTTCAACATTACAAGTCAGGTGGGTCATCTTATTTCCCTGGCCTTATTTAATTTTATGGTAATCATTTCCCTGTTTTTGTTTATCAGTTACTTTTACAAACTCTCTAGTATCATTACAAGGAGTCCTGAAGTGGAGGCAGTGGCCGCCTTGGCAAGGTGGTGGGGCCTCAGAACTAAGCATAAACAGGGCACGTCTTGCCAATGGGAAAAATTGTCGGAAAACGTCCCCCTAAGTTTCGTCCTTTAGTACGACTCCCCCTTCCCCACCTTCATTATCCTACCCGAACTTCCCCCGCCTTCCTACCACTACCACACCA